GTTCGCGGTTTTGATGTCTAGTTCTTTTGGCTACTGCCTCGGGGGTCTTATAACGAGGGGATTTGTGCGCTTCTGCGTTATCCACCTTTCTTTCTTTGAATTGAAAGTGTTGGGAATGACGCTCGACGCTGTGTGGGATTTTGGCTCAGAGAGAACTAATTAGCAAAAACGGAACTTAAATTGGCGTCTCTTCTTCTGAAATTTCAGAAGAGGAAACACGGAAGTTGAAAAAGTAGTGACTGATTTATTTCTTTCTACTTATATAGATTTCAAAAGGGGAGAAAAAGAATTTTAATAAGGATTTTTGTAGTATAATAGGTTTATAGGCTGAACTCGTTTTAGTCTCTCAGTATTTGGGTTACGGTAGCCGCATGATGTATTGCGTCGCCCTTATAATCGGCTTTGAGGGTTGTTTAAGACGGGGAATTATTGAAACATTGAAATAATTTCAGGATTGAAAAATAAAGGTCAACGGATTTCTAGGTAATGATCATAGATTTCAAAAAAAAAAAAAGGTTGGACTTAATTCGTACTAGGCTTGATAAACTTGCATATTACTTCTTTATGCCTATTGTTCTGATAGGAATTTGAAAAGTGCTATGACAGCTCGGAAAACGTATAAATAGGTGAAAAAGTGGATGAAACACGAAAAATCTTCTGGTTCTAGCTTTTGCTTTTTAAATTTGCATATGCAAAAAAATTTGCATATTTAAATTAATTTACATATTCGAAATATTTTATTTTATTTTTTTTTTTTTTTCAGATATGAGTTCAGTTAGTTCGGCCACGACTGTTGGAACAGTACAAGAGGAATATAAAATTCCTCCTCGGGCGCTCGAGAGGAAGGCTTTCAAAATGACTTTTGGTCTTGGTAAGGTTACTTACCAAGTCCACTCGGAGCTCGGTCATCTGCACTGGATGGCCGAGAATGTTGCCAGGGATTCTCGGAGAATGGTACAGGGCGTACCGTTGCAAGAGGAGGAACATCTCCTTGGACAGATGTCGGATCTCCAGGACGCGTGCTATAAAGCCGCGAAAGTCCATGAACAAGAGGACATAGGAGACGATCTGGCCGCGTGGGGCCTACCTACGAATGCGGAGGACCTGCGGGACATGGTTGTCCACCCCGGATGAGTTTCTCCTGCGAGATCTTCATGTGGAGGCGACGAGGCTGAAAGAGCAGTTAGCGGAAGTAAAGAGGATGATCGCCGTGATGGCGACCCAGGATTGGAAAAAGAGAGGGAAAGGTATCAAAGGACTTCTTGCGTGATAATATTATTGTTTTAATTCACAATTCTATTTGTTTCCATTTCAATAAAACGTTCTCTCCCAAGTTCTCTCTCTTTTTTTTTTTCGAAGGATCATTTTAGTTCACGATTTAATACGATTGCGAGGTAAGCACTAAAGTTCCGGTTATCCAGGCTTATTAGTACAAAGGAAAAGTAAAAATAGCGTAATGGACTAACCGGTATAATGTTGTATAAGTGTTCTATGGTCATCGCTACAGTAGGAAGAGGATGATTTTGTCATCGTTTCGTACTTATAGAGATGAACCCTCAATGTGAGAATAGGTAAGTATTATGAGGCTAAGGTGACCTGACTCAAAGAAATATACTTT